TTGCTCTCACCAATGGAGGAAGAGTGGAAGACCCGGGGCAGACGCAGCCAGTGGGTGCTACCCTGTGGCAGCTGGGGAAGGGAGACAGCAGAGCCCTGCTTCATAAGTCTGCGCCTGATATTGGGAGGAAAAGGAGGAAACTGGTTAGCAATGGCCAAGAGCAGCCTGTCTGTGCCTCTGCAAAGGACACACCCATATTTCAGGTTTACTTGGCCTTGATCTTTGCTCCCCAACCTTCTCCTCACCAACAGGGTTCATCCTCTCTTGTTTCTGTGGTAGCCTCTGTCCATTCCCCTCTCCCTACGAACTTCCCTATTTGAGGACTCCAGGCCTAGAGATCTGCCCTTTTTGCAGGTGGAGAACTCAGTTCACCTAACCTCCTCCACCTTTGATATTGCCAATAACAATAGTCACCAATATAATCACTTATTGCATTCTTGCTTCAGAACCAGGTGCTTTATCCACATTGTCTCTAATCCTGACAACAGCCCACAGGATAAGTGTTAGTTTTCCTACTTTACAGAAGTTCAAAAAGGTTAAGCTACTTCCCGAAGATCCCACCAGCAAGAATGCAGCCCACACTTGTTTAAGTTCCAAGTTTGGGCTCTTTCCTAGACACCATCCTTCCCCTTGAGGAAGAGTGAGTGGTGGAAATAAGGAATAAGGGAGTGTGAGCTGGATGGTGGGGTTCTCACCTGTATACCAGAGATGCAAGCACCATAGCCACCAATACCAGCAAGATACCCACGAACAGGGGAGCCTGCCCAAGGTCTGCTTCTTGACCTGTGAGTAGAATCCCAGGCTCTGCTTCAGTGTCTGCTCCCTGACAGATAGCCTCTGCCCACTGCCCTTCCTCATCCCTGCTCCTGTCCAAGTACCTACCAGGCATGACAAGCTGGGTGCTGACCATTGCCAGGCTGTTGGCATCAGCCAAAGACACATTGAGGCAGTAGGTCCCTGAGCCGCCTGTTAGTACCTGGTACAGAACCAGCTGGCAGGCTGGGCTAGGTGGCACAGGCTGACACAGCCGCTGGGTAGGGGGCTGGCACCCTGGCGATGAGATGTCCATACAGGCTTCCTCGGGCAGCCTGGGAGAGGTGACATCTTATGTCAGGGGGTCTGGGAAGGAACCCTTGATACCAGAGAGTAGGTTAACAGTCAACCCAGGAGTTCTCAGGGCCACCAGTGGGACACTCACCCGCCTTGACAGGACACAGTCAGCTCAAATGCATCCCCTTCACTGGATGGCACAGCCTGCAGGATCTCAGCACTCTCGATGCCCTCTACAAAGTTGCAAGATTTTAAGCCTGGGATTCCTCTATCAGGATTCCCTAAAGGCCCACAGACGGGAAATCCCTAGGCTGCTTCCCTAATCCCATCCCCATGCCTTCAAATGAAAACTCTGGGATTTAGGTATTCCTGCTCATGTGAGCAGCTCCTTCCACAGCATGCTTCCACTGGCAACCTGAGACAGCCCGCACCGCCCTCCGCCAGCCCCACAGCAGGCAGGACTCACGGACAATGTCCATGGTGAGGGAAAAGGAACCGTATCGATACAGAACGCAATCCAAGGGGGCTTGTCTCTTCACCAGGATTAAGGTGTCTGTATCATCCAGCAGGGGGCTCTGGGAGCCTGGCAGGAGAGGAGAGAAGTCAATAGACAAATGACTCACCTGGAAACAGAAGCCTAGCAGGCTTATTCCTAGAAGAGCCAGAGCTACTAGATCCAGGCTTGGAATCTGACAAGACCTGGGAAATCTCATTGTATAGATAAGAAAAGTGAGGCCCTGATGGAGAAATTACTGCCCCACAGTCTCACAGATGGGGTAGAGTTAGAGTTTTTAAAAATCACAAGTATTTATCATACCCCACACTGTGCCAGGCCCTAGGCTAGATACTCAACATATGTTTAACTCAGGGGTCCTCAAACTTTTTAAACAGGGGGCCAGTTCACTGTCCCTCAGACCGTTGGAGGGCTGGACTATAGTTTTAAAAAAAACTATGAACAAATTCCTATGCACACTGCACATATCTTATTTTGAAGTAAAAAAACAAAACGGGAGCAAATACAATATTTGTATTTGCATGTGGCCCGCGGGCCGTAGCTTGAGGACCCCTGGTTTAACTCATCTAAGTGTCACTTTCTCACTCTCCCGTTTTCAGTGCTGTAATTCCAGACTGATCTGCTTTGGGAAGAGAATCCAGGGGTGGGAAATGGTGTCAGAATCTGGAAAAGATTTCCATGCATTTTCGCTTGAGCAGAAAATGAGATATAAATATTATAAATAACCACAGTCTGTCATTCCCTGGCCTGTCCCTCCGAGAACAGCTCTCGGGGATAGAGAAGCAACGAGCTCTCTCCCCCAGGCCCTAGGGAAAGGCCCTGACTTCCTGGACACATCTATTCCATGGCCTTAAGAGGGACCTGAGGGCTTTAAAACCAGTGAGGCCTCTGAGGGGACTCCATTGCTAGGCAACGGGTTGCGTAACAACTGGGTCCTGGGAAGTCTTTCAGCTCTTTAGTTACAAATGCCCCACCTCAATAAACCTCATTCACACTGGCCCTCTTACCTGTAATACCTTCTGTAGGCATGACTGGGCTGGCATCTGGACCCTCAGGCTCAGGTGTGGGTACCTCTCCCGCTGTGGTCTCCACCAACTCTGTGGTTGGTACCTGTACAACTGTGGTTTCAGAGGGCTCTCCAGTTGACACTTCAGGGGTCGTACCGATAGCCTCTGCGGTTGGCATCTCTGCAAGTGTGGTACCTATGCCTTCTGTGGTTGGCATCCCTGCAAGTGTGGTACCTAGGCCTTCTGCAGTTGGCACTTGCACCGATGTAGTACCTAAAACTTCTGTGGTTGGCACCTGCACAGCTGTGGTTCCAGAGGACTCTGCAGTTTGCACCTGACCAGGTGTAGTACCTACAACTTCCGCTGTAGGCACTAACCCAGCTGTAGTGCCAGGGGCCTCTTCAGTTGGCACAAGCCCATTTGTGGTTCCTGGAACTGGGGAGGAGCCACAGGAGCTGAGAGGAATAGCAGCCTGAAGCACCACCCGGGCAGTGACTGGGCCCGACTCTAGGTAAGTGTGAGTGACCACAAGTGCCCGAGAGATCAAGGTCCCAGTACTGTCTCCAAAGTCCCAGGTGTAAGAAAGGTCAGCCCCAGACAAGTAGCCACTGGGGTCATGGAGCTGGAGCGCAAAGACCAGAGGTTGGTTTCTCAGGAAGTGCTTGTTCCCTCCATCCAAGGCCTGCAGTTGGGACACACTCACAGAGAAGGGCACCTGGTCTGGGATTGGAAACAAGAAAGGTAAGAACCACCACCTGGGCCACAGCTTCTCTTTTCACAGGGACACCTCCACCGTCAAGCTGACTGTCTCTTCACTGGCTCCGAGCCCCATATCCTTTGCCCAGGTGTCCTGGTTCTGCCCCTTTAAGGTTATACACATTTCCCCTTTCCCCTTCTAGTCCAGCCAAACCTCTCCACCTTCTCTTGCTGTAGGATTGGCCTTGCCCCTTCCTAATCCTTACCAGTAACGGTGAAGACTAAGCTGGCGTGACCGATGGGCATGTAGCTCTCAGACCCCCGGCGGTGGTAGACAGTTACTTCCATGGTGTTTGTGCCCAGCACTGTTGTGTCTGTCCCAATGCTCAGCCCAGACACCGGGCCCCCTAGAACTTGCCAGTATTGGCCTGAGGGTTTTGGAAAGAAAAGCAGGGAGAGGTGAGGGTTACTGGTTGAAGAAGACTGATTAGAGACAGCACCAGAGAAGGAAGGTCAGCTGGATTTAGGATGGTAATTTTAGATGGTATTTGGAAAGTGGTGATATGGGGGCCAGGGAAGGAGTCCTAATGAGTGGTTCCATGG